CCTGCTAACCATTGGTATTTTAGCATGGCCAGCCAATCTTCTAGTCGCAGAGAAGAACGCCTCCATAGAGAACCGAAGGTGCCAACTACGGGACACCGTTCAATCCAACACCCAGCGTGCCCTTGGCCGCTCAAGCCACCAACACCAGGACTGGATCGAAGAAAATGATGAAGTCATCAGTAAACTGCTCGCCGAGAAGAGCCGCCTGCATAAAGCCTACATTGACGGCCCTACCGGCGCCACGAAAGCAGCTTTCTACCAAAGTCGTTGTCTTTTACATCAGCGGCTGCTGGAAAAACAGGATGCTTGGATGGCTCACAAGGGCGAGGAAATACAAAATTACACGGACCGAAATTAATCGAAGAACTTCTTTGCTGCAATCAAGGCTGTCTACGGTCCCATGGTCTGAGGCACACTTTCTGTTTTCAGCGCTGATGGAACTACCCTACGCACCGAGAAGATCGAAATTCGTAAGAGTTGGGCTACTCATATGTCCCTTTACCATCGACCGTCGGCCTCAGGTGGAAATCAGCGCTGACCTCGAAGTAGCAGTCATCCCTCAGGAAACCAACAAGACAGTGCAGCAACTCTACAGTGGGAAAGCGTTTGGATCCGATGCGATCCCTGCGGAGATCTACAGGTACGGCGGCCATCAGTATATATCCCACCTCATCACGCTCTTCCAGTAGATCTGGCGACAAGGGCAGGTCCTCCAGGACTTCAAGCAAAAGGGAACTCTGTGACATTCATCGTGGAAACTCGCTGTTGAATATCGTTGGCAAAAATCTTTGCTCGTGTTCTCCTAAACCGTCTTAACAACCACTTGTTGCAGGAACCCTTGCCAGAAATGTCGTGTAGTTATCTTCGTCATCGCGGCAAACCGACATGATATTTGTGCTGCGCGACATCTGCAGGAGAAGTGCCAGGAAATTCACACCCGTGTGTAGGATACTTTTGTGACCTTATAATAGCATTCATCACGGTGAATCGCGCTAGACTTTGGAAATCATGCAGAAATTCGGCTGTCCTGAGCAGTTCACCCACATGGTACGTGCGCTGTACGATGGGATGATGGCGCACGTCATGGACGACGAGGTGGTCTCCAAAATCTTTGCAGTGACCAGTGGAGTGAAGCAGGGCTGTGTCTTAGCGCCTGCCCTCTTTAGTCTCATGTTCTCTGCCATGCTGATGAACGCCTACCATGACGAGCGTCCCGGGATCCGCACCAACTACAGAATGGACAGGCACCTTCTCAACATCCGATGTCTGCAGGCCCCTACGCGCGTGTTTACAACCACAGTTCATGACTTGCTGTTTGTGGACGACTGCGCTCTCAGCATCACAACAGAAGCGGACAGGCAAAGGAGTATGGAACTCTTCGCCGCAGGTTGTGCAAACTTCGGTCTTACCATCAACACAGATAAGACGGTGGTCATGCATCAACCACCACTCCGTGATGACTGCAATGCTCCACTTATCAAAGTCAGCTCTCCAAAGCGAGCCGAGCTTTCGGCCGGTTTCAAGCTTATGTGTGGAATTGTCATGGCCACCGACTGTGCACGAAACTAAAGATGTAGAAGACCATCATGTTACCGACACTCTTGTACGGAGCGCAGACTTGGACCCTCTAAACCAATCAAGCTCGGAATCTAAACCCTTTCCAGCTCAGCTGTCTCCGCCGAATACTGAAGGTGAGATGTTAAGATATGATCCCGGACACGGAAGTCCTGGAGAGGACGGGTATTCTAAACATCCAGGCCATGCTTAGGCAGATACAAATGTGCTAGTGTGGTCACTTGGTACGGATGAATTATCAGCGGCTTCCGTGCGCGCATCGGCTTGGTCTGCTATCTCTGGACGCAGTATACCACCTCTCCGGTGGCAGTCACTTCTACGGTTTCAAGCACTTCAACAGGCCCTTCTGTGACCAGCAGCTCGACGACTACCCCCCTCACTGCAGAGGTTCAACTAGTGAATGGTTTGCTACCCTCATTCATTGACAGCATTCTTCCTCCTGCGAGCTCACTTCTAACAACCTCCCCCCCCTCCGACGCACCACCACTCGCCCCACCCTTATCACCACATCTAAAACATACACCAGCACTGGAAGCTAGAGCCCAATCTGCCCTCACTGCAATCGCACATTCATCTCACGCATCAGTGTGGTCGGTCACTTGCGAATCCATCGCACAGAGGCTGGTGAACTAGAGCCTGGAGCACCAACACATAGAAGAAACCGCCGCCCTCACTGTCCACACTGCACCTGTGCATTCACACATCGCATGCGCCTACTAGGTCACTTGCGAATACACGAACGCGTAGGATATTTAGAGAATGTGGTATCCTCAACCTAATATTTCGAATGAGGTTTTGGCAATTAATTGAGCAGGCAACATAAAAGCTAGAAGAAAAAGAAGACTCGATCGCTGGAACAATACGGTTGTCCCAGCGATCGAGTCTCCTTCTACTCAATTGCATTCTGGGACTCGAATTTTCATCCACAGGAATATTGGCGAACGCACCAAGAAGCCTACTACTTTAACCGCAGAAAAGAAAGACATATTCATAAGACTGCCTTTCTTAGGAGATGAAACAAGCGAACTGGTAAAACGACGCCTTAACACTGCGATCACAAACGCATTCCCCGCGGCGAACGTTCGCGTGCTATTCACGAACTTTCCCCTCCTACGATTGGGCAATAAAGACCGACTCCAGTCGAAGGCCACATCCATGTGCATATACTCCTTCACTTGCTCCTGTGGAGCAAGACACATTGGCCGAAGAATGAGGCGCCTGGAAAAGAGAGTACGTGAACACATACCGGCCTGGTTAAGCAAAGGTGAAACTTAATCGATCTTGAGCTCTATCCTCCCACACCCTGTCAATCCGAATCATTGACTCGATACCAATTAAGCCTCTCATGTTGTCTACCGGACACCAGCTAAATGTTCCAAAGACCTACGCCAACGGATGCTCGCAACAGCTGACGCAGTAGCTATACGACTATCAAATCCAGTGCTGTGTTGTCAGAAGATGCTGAGACAAGCTCTTACACTTCCATGGCCTACACCGACACCAGGTGACGATAGCATTTCGTTCCTACCAACCAGCGGCAGTCTCTCAATCAACACGCTGGCACGGCCTACGTGCGGAAACTGAAAAAATCCGCAGTGGCCAGTTATTGATTTTTATACATATTCAAACTTTAATTGTTATGTACAGCGTTCATTTCCCTTGCAAATGTTTGGCCTGATGACGAGTTGTTGAAAACAATTGTTTGCCATAAACTGACTTTTAAGATTAACCATGGGAATATTTACGGAACTTACTGAAAAACCCTAGTAGAGCCACGCCTCTTCTGGACAAACGATCGGGGTACTGCTAAAAGACTACACCAAATAATTCATAAAAGGTTATTCCAGTATTGTGTAACCTAATACGAGGAACATCAACGCATTTAGCATTAGAATTTTGCACCGAGATCTTAGCAACCACCCTTCTCACTTACGCAAATATTACACGGGGAATTGGCGAACTGGTCGCCCGAAAATTGTGAGCTTCGAGAGTACAAAATGGGGAGATCGGGTGACATGAATATTTCAAGGCCAACTCTTGTGGCTATTATTTTTCGGTAATCTCTGCGTCTTAATGCAAACCTTTCATGCTTAGTTGTTTGCAAAACAATGTGCAGGCAGAATGGAAAATGAATGCACGACTTCGGAGATTATGTGTTTTCGAATTATCAACAGGGAATATCGTAGTATTTATAATAGTATAGTATTTATAGTGCAACCAGCTCAAAGACGCTTCGACAAACTATAAATCACATGTTCATAATATTAGCTGATGAAGTGTGCCCTTTTATATGTTCCCATATGTTAGTCGGAGGTTTCTAGGTCACGGTGCCCTACTCCTACTAAACTACCATGCTCTATTCATTTGCTTCTAAATCAGCGAGCAAAACCTGCAGTTTCTTAAATTAAAACGCATGTATCTTGGTTCGCATATTCATAAGCCTTTACCTTTCTTCGACCATTTCTTGCATACGGAAACTTTGAATGATGAAACTGCGTATATACATATATAGTTAAGGATTTGGCTTAGCAGTGTCGTATTCGTCTCAAACATATAAGTATTTAACCAAATGCGTTAAGACATTGCCTAGCTCCGACGTCTCTGCTCA